CGCACACACACACACACACACACACACACACACACACACACACACACACACACACACACACACACACTCTCCCTCAGTGGTCACTCCTTGTGTGCTGATGAAGCAAAGTGACAGGTTTAGTAAGCGGCTAAAACTAGCCTGTGGGCAGCGTCAGCTCCATGCTCGAGCTCCTCAGAACGCGGCCACTTTTCAGCCTCCACGCAAGCCCAAATACATGTTTATGAGACAAGCCCTTCATTTAAAAATAAGGCAGCGGAAGTTACTCCAGCCCCTACCAGTGCGCACACGCACGCTCATCTCACACACGGCCGCATACACACTTCTGCCTGCGTTTCGTCGCTAAACCACCGACCGGCGTCCTTCCTGTGGGTCATTCCGGGATGCAGCGCCGGGAGTAGCCGACACACTGCTGTATTTTTAGGAATGGGTGGATACCAGAAGCGAAAATAATTTATTTTTGTCCCGGCAATGAATACCACGAGCTTAAACGCACAGGCGACGGCAAGGAGACGACCTATAAATGCCCCTTTACAGCAGCTCTGTTCGAAAGTGTGCATGGGTGAAGCAACAGGGACACTGGTGCTTTTTTTATGGAAAGGGCAGGTCTTAGTATAGGATGAGACTGGGGCTTAACTATTCTCCTCCTTTAACACCTTCCTACAGGCCCTTAAAGAATATGCCAGTGATGCAGATGCAGATGCTGATCTGACATATTGCGAGCTGGAAAGCTGACTCATCAAAATAATATCAATTCCTCTGTGGGTGAGTAATCAGCTGAGGGCAAGTTATATCAGCAGCGAGAGGACCACCGGCATCCTTTCATTAGAGGCCAAAACTCCTGGAGGATACTTTGTGGATCAACACATGTTGAAACCAACCTGATCACCATCGTGCTGCTGCCAGAGCTTAGAATGGCCTCAAGCAGCTTCAGCTGAATCCATCCAACATTCAAAGATCCCAAGGTCCGTCTTCGGTGCTACCCAGAACGTCGGTGGAAGGTCTCTCAGTGAGTCGCTCCTACCCTGCCAGCCCCTCCCCAAACCAAAAGCCTCTTTGGGAACTCCAACAGCAGCGCTGCCACTCCGCCAGCTGCCCCTCTCCCAGACCATGATGTTTCGTGATCAGGTTGGCATACTAGCCAGCTGGTTCAAAGGCTGGAATGAGTGTGAGCAGACAGTGGCTCTGCTGTCTTTGCTGAAGAGGGTGAGCCGGACCCAGGCTCGTTTCCTGCAGCTCTGTCTGGAGCACTCCCTTGCAGACTGCACGGAACTGCAGGTTCTGGAGGCAGATGCCAACAATCCAGGTAGGTCGCCTAGCTAACCCCCCCCCACAACCC